AACTTCAAAGTTTTTCCAGAAATCGCATACAATCGCTTCTGATCACAAAGGAATTTTCACTGAAATGGCGCTAGAAATTGATTTTTTCTTGCTGTTTAAACGCTGGTCTAAAAATAAACGATTCCAGGCAAAAATGCCCATTCTCCTAAAAAATTGTAAATTCTACTCTGGGCATCGTACAAATTTGGAAGTTTCCCAAGATTTAGTAGAAGCACGAATCTGAGGATGGGGAAATTTTCATTGCGATCGCACAAGATTCTGATTTTTTTCTGCTGTCTAAACGCGCATCTTAAAATTAACATTTCCAGGCAAAAGCGCGCTTTCGTTAAAAAATTGTAACTCCTCGTCTGGACTACGTACCTATGAAAAATTTTCTGAAAACATAGCAGATACGTGAATCTCAGAAAATATTTTTTTTTGCTAAAACCACAATAGATCCGGATTTTTTCCTACTATTGAAACTCGCGCGTCTATAAAATGAATGTTTCCACTCAAAACCATGCTTTCTGTAAAAAAATCGTAACTACTAACATGGGCCGCAACAGAATTTCAAAAATTTCCGCGATATAGTAGATTCTGTGATATGAGACTGGCAAAAATTGCATTAAAATCGCACTAGATCCTATTTTTTTTGCTGATTTTTAAACGCGTCTAAAATAAACGTTACCACTCAAAAGCGCGTCCCCTCTAAAAAAATCACAACTTCTATTCTTGGCGTTCTACAAACTTCAAAGTTTTTCCAGAAATCGCATACAATCGCTTCTGCTCACAAAGGAATTTTCACTGAAATGGCGCTAGAAATTGATTTTTTCTTGCTGTTTAAACGCTGGTCTAAAAATGAACGATTCCAGGCAAAAATAAGCGTTTTCCTAAAAAATTGTAAATTCTTCTCTGGGCTTCGTACAAATTTGGAAGTTTCCCAAGATTTAGTAGAAGTACGAATCGGAGGATGGGGAAATTTTCATTGAGATCGCACAAGATTCTGATTTTTTTTGCTGTCTAAACGCGCGTCTTAAAATGAACATTTCCAGGCAAAAGCGCGCCTTCGTTAAAAAACTCCTAATATGGACTGCGTACCAATGAGGAATTTTCTGAAAACATAGCAGATACGTGAATCTCAGAAATATTTTTTTTTTGCCAAAACACCTATACATCCTGATTTTTTCCCACTATTTAAACGCGCGCGTCTTTAAAATGAATGTTTCCAATCAAAAATATGCTCTCTGTAAAAAAATCGTAACTACTATCGTGGGCCGCAACAGAATTTCAAAAATTTCCGCGATATAGCAGATTCTGTGATATGAGACTGGCAAAAATTGCATTGAAATGGCACTAAATCCTATTTTTTTTGCTGATTTTTAAACGCGTCTAAAATAAACGTTACCAGTCAAAAGCGCGCCCTCTCTAAAAAGATCATAACTTCTAATCTTGGCGTTCTATAAACTTGAAAGTTTTCCCAGAAATCGCATACAATCGCTTCTGATCGTAAACAAATTTTCATTGAAATGGCGCTAGAAACTGATTTTTTCTTGCGGTTTAAACGCTCGGCTAAAAATGAACGATTCCAGGCAAAAATGCGCATTCTCCTAGGAAATTGTAAATTCTACTCTGGGCATAGTACAAATTTGGAAGTTTTCCAAGATTTAGTAGAGGCACGAATCTGAGGATGGGAACATTTTCATTGCGATCGCACAATATTCTGATTTTTTTCTGCTGTCTAAACGCGCATTTTAAAATGAACATTTCCAGGCAAAAGCTTGCTTTCGTTAACAAATTGTAACTCCTAATCTGGACTGCAAACCAATGGGAAATTTTCCGAAAACATAGCAGATACGTGAATCAGAAAGGAATTTTTTTGCCAAAACCACAATAGATTCTACATTATTTTGCCTACTATTTTAACTCGCGCGTCTTTAAAATGAATGTTTCCACTCAATATCGAGCTTTCTGTAAAAAGTCCATTGAACTGCTGTTCTAGATGTAGAAATTTAAAAGCGCTACAATATGCAGCAGACACGTGAATCTCATATATAAAAAATGTTTATGGAAATTGCATTAGATCCTGATTTTTTCCGGCTGTTTAAACGCGCGTCTGAAAATTAGCGTTCTAGCCAAAAGCGCGCCCTGTTCAAAAAAATCGTAACTATTAATCAGGCGCAAGCACAAACTTGAATGTTTTGCAAGATATAGATACTGCGAAGCGAGAAATTTTCGTCAAAATCGAGTAAGGCCTTGACTTCTCTCTGCTGTTTAAACGCGGATTTAACCTAATTATCAAAAGAGATAGACTTTCGAGGCCATTTCTTGAAACTAATGGGTTTTTCCTGTTTCTAGGCCGTCGTTCGGTAGAATTTCTTCTTGACGATTCACAAGCACGAGTGGCTTGCATCTTCAGAAGTGGTTTGCTTAAACGCTTACACTGTTCTGATCAGAACCCGTTTAGTTCTGCGGAAGAACTGACGGCCTAAAAACCCGAAAAACCCATTAGTTAACCTAATTATGTTTCAACATTTCTCAAATTAGCTCTTCACTAACAATCCGAGTATTTAAAAAAACAACAGGAAAAACTTAGACAATTTAATAGATAAGTCAATTAATTATCCCGTACTCAACTGCGTGTACCAAAATATCGGCCAGTGTCTTCTTCCACGAAGGATGCTCTCGGCTTTGTTTGATCATCTGAAGAATGTTTGCAATTAAGTCCTGATCTTTGGGAGTTTCGGCCATTCTATCCTGGAATTCCTTTTTCGCCATGAACTTCAATGACCCGGCCACGATTGCCATGTAAATGCCCATAAGTGCGTACTTTTTCCAGTCGTTTTTCAGAGCTTCCAAAGGCAACATTTTGTCTGGATCAGCGCCCAACTCTTTGGCGAACTTCGAAAAACTGTGGTAGTACAAATCCAGATAGTAGTCCAGTTTATCAAAGTCGGGCTTGGAGGCTCCGGAGTAGAAACAGTAAGACAGATCATGGACGGGAGTTGAATCTCTTCCACATTGATGGTCGAGGAGTTTTATGTCCTCCAAGTCCCCATTTGCCTGCAAAGGCCCCAGTTCAATCAGAGAGCAAATCAGTGAATAGTGGCTAAAGGCTACTAACCAGATATTTAAACAGCATATTGTTTGACCAGCAATCTCCATGAATCCATGCTGAATATTGGCCCTCATATTTACAGCCTCTTAACCTGGAAGGACCAAAGTCGTCTAAAAACATCTGAGCTTTATCCGCGCCTTGTTGATTGGTCTCTTTGATGTATTCCAGCGCTGTTTGAAAAGTTCCCTCAATTTCCTTTGACACACTCTCCAAAAAGGTGCTAAGAATATCAATAGCAGGCGCTGTTATTTCTTGGTACTTTTCTGGATTGCTGGCTTTATATGC